GTTATTCCATGTTCAGAACCTGGTGGGGCTCATCAACATACCCAAGGGGCCATTACCTCGGATTTCCCCATCAAAGCATTCATGGAAGCTGGGGCTCCTTAAACTAACCTTCATCACCATTACTAAGATAAGACAAAGGGTCTATCCCACACATATCCCATATTGTCATCTTGTCAAAAATAAAATATTTTGCATCTAAACAAATCACCAAACAAATATAAAGTGAGATAAATTACCAATCAAGCATGAAAGTCCTTTTCAATAATTTCTTCATTTTCATCAAATTAATTTACTATAAAAAGGACTTATAAATGCAAGTAAAAGTACCGAGAATTCCTTATCAGAATCGAACCGAATTAGCCATTCAGAAACAAAGGAAAAAGCTCATAGAAATTCCTTAAATAAGCTTGCGAAATTCCTACTCCTCTCATTTTTTCTCTCTCTAAAATTTCTTTTCTTCTCTCTAATTTGGTAAAACTCGAAGAAATGGAAATTGGTAAAGAATGAAAGGGGAAGGGGCTTTTCAAAGGGAATTAGAGGGTTGTGGCAGAAATTCGAAAAGTTAAGTAGAGACATGGCCGTATAGCGGCCGCGCAAGCTTGCCTTTGCATGTTGTGCACGTATAGCGCACAACATGGGCAAACATGGCCTGCACGTAGGCATCTTGCCGCACACAAGCGTGGCCATGCTGTGCCCAATGCGCAACGCATGCATATGTTGGCACCCATGCGAGTTGACTGCGCGCAAGACCGCGGTTTTGCGGGTGCGAGCTGTAGGAATTTTTTTCGCTTCCCGTGGCAATGTATTCTTGATTCTTTCCTTTTTAATGAAACTATTGTCAAAATTTATTTTTTAAAAAATAAAGAATAAACAAAATCATTGAAAAAATTCAAAGCACCAAAAATTTGTAGTAACATATTTCAAATGACCAATGGGACTCAAAACAACAAAGTTTGTTATCTCGGTCTATCACAAAATTTTGCTGGTAATATAATTGATGCCTTATGTGCTCTATTGATAGTCTCACTGCATGGAATCCTTATATATATATATATATGTGTGTGTATGCATTTATGTGCTCTAGTGGAGGAGCGAATATATGTGATACTAATGGGCCTAGTTGATGGGCGAGGGGTTGATGCCCCAATGTTTCTTTGTTTTTCACATAAATATGCATGACATATGTAGGTGCATAATTTGGTTTGTATATGTGATACTCGGGCCCGGAAAACGACCCGAGATAAATTTTTTATTCTTTAATTATCAATTTAAAATAATTTATTAATTTATTTTATTTTTATTTAAGTGAAATTTTGAGAAAAAATAAATTAGACACGAGATTGAAAATAATTTTGAGAAAAATGAATGAAAATTTGAGTTATTGGGTGTTTTTAAAAGAAAAATTAGAAACAGGGGGTCAAAATATAAATAGAAAAAGTTCAGACAGGTAAGACCGGCTAGTCAGCAGGCTTGACGAATCGGATCGATCCCGCGCATGTGGATGACCCATATCCATTTTCTCCTTAGGTGCGATCGGATGGTCGAGATTAATCGCGATGAATAGACTAGATTCGTTTCCTCCTTAAGTGCGATCGGACGGACGAGATCAATTGCGATTGATGGTTCAAATCAACGCAAGATGGTTATAAATACTTCGCATTAAACGGGAACCTAAACCTAAGCCGCTAGCCCTCGCTGGAGAAGAAGAACCAGATGTCGGAGAAGGAGCCCGACCGCTGCCACGTTGGAGCCACCACCGACCGCAAAAGAGGTAAAAAAAAATTTTAACCCCTCGAAATTCGATTTCGAGTACCCTGTGGTCAAATCGGAGTAAGAGGGACGATGAGTGAGTCGGAAACTACGGACAAAGCTTGATGGAGTCGCCGCGACTAAAACTCCAAAACTCCTCTGTGAACACCTTCTCGATTTCTGTTTCATGTAATTTTTTGATTATTGTGTTCACCGTTCTTTTCTGTGCAGGGTAGCCGAAGAAAGAATCTCAACCGCGAAGGAAGACCGATGGAGCCGCCGCACCCGGAGGTCCCCTTGTCGATAAGTTCGATTTTTTTTATGATTTTTCAGCCAACCGAGGCCCTAGACGTAATTTCTGTAGGGATACAATCAAAATCGGCCAAATCAGTCACGCTGAGGCACGGTGGTGGACCCGGCGTCGAAACTCCAAAATTTGTCGTAATGAATTTTTGACACCAATTTTATATTTTTCGAATATTTTTAGATATATGACAAGTGTTTTGAATTGCACAGAAAAATTTAGGGAACCTGATACCCGTTAAGAGGCGTAGTAAACAGCTCGACATCTCAAAACACCGATCTAGGTAAGGATCCCTCACCCTATTTTTCGTTACGGTAAATTGAGGCTTAACGTTGTATAATTTTATGTTTTTGTGAAAAATTAAAAATTTCTAAAAATAATTACAGGTTACTATTGGAGACAGAATCTGTTAGTTCATAATTGTCTTGATTTCCTATTTATTTTCCTATACTGTCCTACTTGCTTAATTTATATTTCAATAGTCTTATCAACTTATCTGGTTATTTTAGTTATATAATAATGTTAGCATGAATATAGTTTAATTGATTTGTGAATGTAATATGAGATATTGGTATGAGTTTGTTGGTTATTTATTGATGAAAATCTGTATGTGAAAGAGTTGCTGGTTACCTAGGGAAAGGGCAGATGAGTCTGATACATAGAGAACCCTACCGTGAACGTTACGTCAGTCGGACGGGGTTGGAAAGTCCCTTACCATAAAGGTTTGGGTGATATGGTTCACCCTCATACTGGAGGGGGTATCGAGATGATGAAATGTACGACACCCATTATCAGATGGGGTATTTGGACGACCTGTTAATTGTAAAATTGGATATTGGGTTCACAAGTAGGGGGGACACCCCTATGGACTCTTAAGGGTACTAGTTAGCAAATAAGAAATGAAAATTATTATTTCTTGTTCTCTTATGTATGAAAGTGAAAAGTAATATGAATATGGGTCTTCATAGGTTGTCTTTGAAAAACTCGTTATGGTAAATATTAAACAAATGTATTCAAGTTTCTAATGTATTTAAATAAAGCAAGATATCCATTAGTTATTTTTTTTATTTTTTTTTACCAATCTTCAGTTTTTTGTATATGTGATTAGTGTGATATTCTTACTGGGCTAGTGTAGCTCAATATTTCATTACTATTTCAAATTAA